GTTTTTTTTTTTGTGTGTGTGTGTGTGTGTGTGTGTATGTGAGTGAATTGATTTGTTTTTTGTTTTTATTTTTTTTTAGCTCCCACCAATAAGTGAGAACATGTGGTATTTCTTTTTCTCTGCCTGACTCGTTTCACTCAGTATTATTCTTTCAAGGTCCATCCATGTTGTTGCAAATGGCAGTATTTCATTCATTTTTATAGCTGAGTAGTATTCCATTGTGTAGATATACCACATTTTCTGTATCCACTCATCCGATGATGGACATTTGGGTTGATTCCAGCTCTTGGCTATTGTGAAGAGTGCTGCAATGAACATTGGGAAACAGGTATACCTTCGACTTGATGTTTTCCATTCCTTTGGGTATATTCCCAGTAGTGGGATAGCTGGATCGTATGGTAGCTCTATCTTCAGCTGTTTGAGGAACCTCCAAACCATTTTCCATAGGGGTTGCACCATTTTGCATTCCCACCAACAATGTATGAGAGTTCCTTTTTCTCCACAACTTCGCCAGCATTTATCGTTCAAAGTCTTTTGGATTTTAGCCATCCTCACTGGGGTGAGATGGTATCTCAGTGTGGTTTTGATTTGCATTTCCTGGATGCTGAGTGATGTTGAGCATTTTTTCATATGACTGTTGGCCTTTTGTATATCTTCTTTAGAGAAATGCCTGCTTAGCTCTTTTGCCCATTTTTTGATTGGGTTGCTTGTTTTTTTCTTGTAAAGTTGTTTGAGTTCTTTATATATTCTGGATATTAGTCCTTTGTCGGATGTGTATTTTGCAAATATTTTCTCCCACTCTGTTTGTTGTCTTTTAGCTCTGTTAATTGTTTCTTTTGCTGTGCAGAAGCTTTTTAGTTTGATATAGTCCCATTTGTTTATTTTTCCTTTGGTTGCCCGTGCTTTTGGGGTTGTATTCATGAAGTCTGTGTCCAGCCCTATTTGCTGAAGTGTTTCTCCTATGTTTTCTTTAATAAGTTTTATTGTTTCAGAGTGTATATTTAAATCTTTAATCCATTTTGAGTTGATTTTAGTATATGGTGAGAGGTATGGGTCTAGTTTCATTCTCCTGCATATGGATATCCAGTTCTCCCAGCACCATTTGCTGAAGAGGCAGTCCCGACCCCATTGAATAGGCTTGGTGCCTTTGTCAAAGATCAGATGGCTGTAAGTGTGTGGGTTGATTTCTGGATTCTCTATTCTGTTCCATTGATCAATGTGTCTGTTTTTATACCAGTACCATGCTGTTTTGGTTATTATAGCTTTGTAGTATAGTTTAAAGTCAGGTAGTGTTATGTCTCCAGCTTTATTTTTTTTGCTCAGCATTGCTTTAGCTATTCATGGTCTTTTGTTATTCCAAATAAATATTTGTATAGTTCTTTCCATTTCTGAGAGAAATGTCATTGGAATTTTGATTTGGATTGCATTGAATTTATATATCACTTTAGGCAGTATGGCCATTTTCACTATGTTGATACTTCCAATCCAAGAACATGGGATATCTTCTTGTATCCTCTCTAATTTCTCTCAGCAATGATTTGTAGTTCTCATTATAGAGATTTTTCACATCCTTGGTTAGCTCAATTCCTAGGTATTTTATTTTTTTGGTGGCTATTGTAAATGGGCAGGCTTTCTTGATTTCTCTTTCTGCATGTTCACTATTGGTGAATAGAAATGCTACCGATTTTTCTGTGTTGATTTTGTATCCTGCTACTGTGCTAAACTCATTTATCATCTCCAAGAGTTTTTTTGTAGATGCTTTAGGCTGTTTGATATATAGGATCATGTCATCTGCAAACAGGGACAGTTT